TTCCTTCCTTCCTTCCTTCCTTCCTTCCTTCCTTCCTTCCTTCCTTCCGTTCTTCCTCCCTTCCTTCCTTCGCCGGCGTTCGTCTCGCTTTTTGTCGCAACGAGACGTTTTCCTCGGTCCGAACAGAAACCTCGCTCGCGTGTCGTTCAACCTCTCGCGGCGCTCGACGATGAAAGTTATTGGATAATTGAGATCCGAGCCAATGGCCGTCCCTGTCCCGTAAATTGCCCCCTTAACGGCTCCGCGTCTCGAATTCCTCCTGTCCGCCATCTTTCTTTACGCGGGAACGTCACCGTGTCTCCCCCCTCCCCCCTCCGCCGCCGCCGTAACACTTTTCTTACTCTTTGGAATTCTTTCGGATGATTGGAGACTGGCTACAGGCCGACTACAATAACCGGCGACGGAATTTATTGGTTGCTAAAGTATTTAGTGCGCGACTATACCACGTAGCGAACGTAAATTGAAACCTTGGCAGCTGCGGCTATACTTACCCGCGGCCGAGGCTTAGGTTTCTTTCCAATTACTCTGACATCATCATGCTCGCGAATAAATTCTTAACGCCGTTTCCACACTACGCCGTCTCGCCGCCGATTTATTGTACAGAGCGGATGAACTTTGTATTTTCTACAGATTACGTTGCACCGTTCAGCTGGGATGTTTCTCAACGCTTTTGAACAGGAGTCAATTTTTCGACTACGATGTTTCAAATGTATTTATCGTTTCAATGTATTTTGTACGATGACTTTGTGAAGAAATATAGCGTTACGGAGGCAAGTTTATTTTAAGTTGGAAGTAGAACGAATTATTTTAATTATTTATTATGTTTTTGAGAAGGATGTCTTTTACAACGATGTTTTCGAGAGCGATGTCTTCGAGAACGATGTCTTTGAGGGCGATGTCTTCGAGAACGATGTCTTTGAGAACACTGTTTCTTAGAACGATATCTTCGAGACCGATGTCTTTGGAAGCGATATCTTTGAGAGCGATGTCTTTGAGAGAACTGTCTCCGAGAGCGACGTCTTCAAAATCGATGTTTTTGAGAGCGATGTTTTCGAAAACGATGTCTTTGAGAGCTATGTCTTTATGAGCAATGTCTTTCAAAGCGTTGTCTTCAAAAACGGTGTCTTTGACAACGATGTGTTTCAGTGCGATATCTTTTAGAACGATGTCTTTGAGAGCGATATCTTCGAGAATTATGTCTTTGAGAACGATGTCTTTGAAAGCGCTGTCTTTGTGAGCGATGTCATTGAGAGCGATGTCTTCGAAAACGATGTCTTTGAGAACACTGTTTTTTAGAACGCTATCTTCGGGACCGATGTCTTTGGAAGGGATTTCTTTGTGAACGATGTCTTTGAGAGCGATGTCTTTGAGAACGATGTCTTTGAGAGAGCTGTCTCTGAGGGCGACGTCTTAAAAATCGATGTCTTTGAGAGGGATGTTTTCGAAAACGATGTCTTTGAAAGCGATGTCTTTGAGATCCATGTCTTTGAGAACGATGTCTTTGAGAACGATGTCTTTGAGGGCGATGTCTTCGAGAACGATATCTTTGAGATCTATGTCTTTGAGAACGATGTCTTTGTGAACAATGTTTTTTAGAACGATATCTTTGAGACTGATGTGTTTGAGGGCGATGTCTTCGAGAACGATATCTTTGAGATCCATGTCTTTGAGAACGATGTCTTTGAAAACGCTATCTTTGTGAGCAATGTCTTTGAGAGCGATGTCTTCAAAAACGATGTCTTTGAGAACAGTTTTTTTTTAGAACGATATCTTCGAGACCGATGTCTTTGGAAGCGATTTCTTTGTGAACGATGTCTTTGAGAGAGCTGTCTCTGAGAGTGACGTCTTCAAAATCGATGTCTTTGAGAACAATGTTTTGTAGAATAATGTCTTTGAGAACAATGTTTTGTAGAATCATGTCTTTGAGGACAATGTCATTGTGAATGATGTTTCTGAGGACAATGTTCTTTAGAACGATGTCTGTGAGCACGGTATCTTCGAGAATGATGCTGTTACAAACGATGTCTTTGAGGTCGACGTTTTTGAGAATAATATTTTTTAGAATAATGTCTTTGGGAATGATGTCTCGGAAAAAGATGTTTCTGATGACAATATTTTATATATATATATATAGAACGATGTTTTTTTTTTAGAATGATGTTTTTGAAAACAATATTTCTCAGAATATTTTTGAGCACCAAGTTTTTGATAACGATACTCGTCAGTGTACATTCGAATCGTGCGAACGTTCTAACGGAAGATGAACTCGTTTCTGTTGCAGAGTTATCGGAAGATCGCCCGCCAAGTCAGCACACCAGACAGCGCACCTGCAGGCTTGGGCAGTCCACAGGCTGGTATAGGCGGTCTGCAGCAGCACCAACAACAACCACAACAACAAACTCAACAAACGATTCATCAACCGGATCCCATGCAGCAGTCCAAGGACAGCTTGAATCCCGCGGCGAACCAGCAAACCGGCGCCCTCAGGAACGGAAATCCGCCGCCGCCTGTCGTTTCTATGGTGAGTACACGGCTTTTCTTTCCGGACTCGTCCAGATTCGGTTACACCACGATTCATGTTAGGGTAGCGCAACTAGTTACAGTGGGATAGCCAATTACTCTTGCCTTTAGTTCATTATCAAACACTGACTGCGCATTTATTGAATAATACATAGTGAAATTTTTTTAATTCAATTCGATCGGTTATTTATTTCTTAAAATTAAACATGCAAAAGTTCTTAAAATATCGCAGAAATTATTTCAATTTCTTCAGAAATCAATATTCAGTGAAATAAATCATTTTTATATAGATCATTTAATTTATTCGACTATTTGTAGTATCATTTATTAATTTTTGTTGAGATGCTTTTTAAGGTGCTTTTTCTAAATAGAAATTAAAATTACATTAAATGTCGGAAATTATATAGGGGAATACATATAGCAAGCAAGGGCCCCCATCAAGGGACCAGAAAATGTCGGCCCTGAGCTCGACACAGGACAGCCAATAGCTTCTGCCGCTGACACTGATCACGTGAACGTCACGCAGACGTTCCGTTTACGTTCGCCGGCTCGACACATTGAACCCGCTATAAATAGACTGCGAATTTTCATACAAAATAAAAAGTTATTGCACCGATTGCGCGAAACGGGAGATAAGTAGAAAGTTGTTTCTTGCTTTGATAACTTTTAGTAAGTTGGTAATAATGTACACTAAAATTCTTCTGGTGTGTTATCTGTGTTAAATGTCATCTTAAATGTCAGCCGCACAATGCAGGCACTTTTTAAAAATATCGCTTACAATGCAACGGTGCGCTGTTCAGAGTCTAAAAATATCTTCGTTTGCTTGGTTTCGATTTATTCTCATACTTTCTGTTTTAATTTGCTTCATTTAGTTCTTATTATTTTCACATTGTTAACTGATAAATCTTCTTTAGAATGCTCTTCGAAAAGTCCGCTCGCAATTATCGAAATTAATTTTACATACAAACAAACTAATGAACTTTTACGAAAAGTAACGAAGATTTGCTCAACGAAGTTCCACGAGTTTCGTGGACGAACAGAACAGTGTTGCCAACTGTCCGAGTTCTAGTTTGAAGTTGGATTGCGTTGGTTCCTAACGTTTTTAAATCTTTCGTTCTTTAAAACTAAATGTAAATCAATTTTGGTGTTGTTTTCAAAGTAACGAACAAAATTTGATACAGTGTTTAAATCATTTCTTTTCACCGTGACTCGCTTCATGCGGAATAAAAATGCGTGTCTAAGCCACTGTTGCCAAATCTGAGACGATGGATACGCAACACAACGTTTATTGTAAAATTCACTAAAAACACTTTCCATACAAAACTGATACGAACCGAAGAGAGTTTAGTCTTTTTCGAAAAGTAGATTCCTCGTAAAACGAATAGGTTAGGATTACAGTGGCGTAACTCACACTTTCGAAACCGTTAACCTACGTCTCGAACTGTAATCTATACACGCGGAAATGTTAAAAAAAACCAATGAAAATCAATTATAAGGTCAGTACGAATTAACTTGAGTCGAGATTATATTGAAAATAAATTCGGTCGGTAAACGATAGATCGCAGCGAGAAAAAAAACGTGACTTACGGCACTATTATGATTTCCGAGCCACTCAAACGGTTCGCACATGACGGGAGCGCCGGTTGCCAGTAGAATCGTCTGTTGCGTGTTCGGTAGTTTACCCGCTTGGCACGAGCTCAACTCGAGCTGAAAATCCTTTATAGGATTACAAGCGTCTTGGTCCCTAAGGATCGCATCGATCCCGCCACCCCCGGCCCCCTAATCTCGGCCTGTATATCGGCATGTAACACGTAGCACACTTCGGGGAATAAACAGCTCCCCATCGGCGCGACCCAGTCCTCCGTTTCGTGTACACCGATGGTGAACCCGGGCCAAGGACCTTGACCTAGACCATACCCGGCTCATTACTTCAATCTGTCTTCGCCCTACAAGGAAACACGCCTGCCTCGCCTGTTCGGCGAGCTTCGAATACCTGACTGCCGCGGGATCGCAAACTTGCTTGCCGCTAATTTCTGTCGCGACGCCGCCACGCCGATGTGTTTATTGTCCATAAAGTCTCTTCTCGTTCGTACCTGTCGCCGCGGAGATTCCCCCGGCGCTTCGACGTACGAAGAATGTTCGCTCGCCGTTTCTTTCGTCTGGTTATTGTTGTAGCAACCTTCGGGTTCGTTGCACTTGTGCTAACCGACACTGCTCCCATCAACGTGCTCGATAAGATCTTGATTGCTCGTGCCAGGACACTTCATACCTAAACGCGTTAAATACGCTAGAAATCATTTGGGGTAATTATTTGCTTCAGTGGGTTTTGTTAGTTTTAGTAGCGTTTTTGGTCAAATAGACTGGAGGTTATGTTCGAGTTGCGTCTAGGTTAGACCATGCTTTTAGTAATCACGTGACGTTGATTTCAACAATATTGTGGAATGAATATTTCTAGGTTAGGTCTAGTTGGGTATGGGTTTCTGACCTTTTGCAACTTGTAGATCTTAAATCTTAATGGACCGTGACAATAAGTGATTTTCAAGTTGGATAACAAGATTTTGTGACACGCAATTATTTTTCTCTAACTCCGCAATATTTTGAAAAGAAAATTTCTAAATTATATCTAGTTAAGTAGGTTTAAAGGATGCGCTAGAAATTTGAAATGAGCTAATTATTTGCTGCAGTGACTTTTGTCAGTTTTAGTATCGTTTTTGGTAAAATAGCTTCGTTTTGTCACTTGCATGAGGAATTGATTGAGAACCACGGACTTTGGAGGTTATGTTTGTATTCCATCTATTCTTAGTAATGAATAGATTGTAACGAAAGATGATTTTCAAGTTTGATTAACAGCCACAATTATTCGACTCTGACTTCATCAATATTTTTGAATGAAAATTGTTAGGTTAGTTCGAGGTTAGATCTGAATTTCTATCTTTTTGGAACTTGTAGATCCTAAAGAACTAGGGGTTTGAATTTGAATAAAAAGATTATATGACTCACAACTACTTTTCTCGAACATTGCCAGCATCTTAAAGAGGAAATTTATAAGTTAGGTCTAGGTTAGAAATTTGTAGGTTAGGTCGAGTTTATATCTGGGTTTCTGTCTTTTTAGAACTTGCAGATCCTAAAGAACTAGAGTCTTCTTAACGGATTGTGACAAGGAGTGATTTTTAATTTGGATAAAAAGGTTGTATGACTCATAACTATTTTTCTCTAATCTTAAAAAGGAAATTTCTAGGTTCGGTCTAGTTAAGTCTCCGTTGCTATCTTTTTGAAGCTTGTAGATCCTTAAAAAGTCTAGGATTTTCTTAATAGATTGTAACGGAAGGATTGTGTGATCTACAATGATTATTCACTCCCTTTTCACAACATTTTGAGAAGGAAGTATTTAGGTTAGGTCTCTGGGTTTCTACCCTCTTGCACTTTAGATGATGCTAGAAAACTTTGGTTTACTTCGTAGTAATTGAAAAGTGATTTTCAAGTTTATTGAAAGGATTTTGTGACTGTTGCCTAATTTTAACAACATTTTGAAAGAAGATGTCCAGGTTAGGTCTCTATATTACGTCTCTATTAAGCCTGATTTAGGTCTAGTTTAGGTCTGATTTAAATCTGAATTAAGCGAACACATTTAGCCCAACCTAAACAAAATTCACGTATTCGTTGGTTTACGTCTGCGTCCAACAGATCCCAGAAAACTGTGCACCACATTCTTCAACGAGAAACAGGTTTTCAAATTCGAAGAAATGATTGTCTAAACGTTGCGCGCCTCTCCTCGGGCATCGTGTAACGCGTCAAGAAGAAAATGCCGAGCAGTTGAATGATCCGGCTGATCCCCGTCGGAGGGAGTTAGCAGCGGCGCGCTTGCATCACGAGGGTCTTATCCGGGCAAAAAGGAAAAGCATGGTTCTCCAGTGACCGTCCGCTTATCCCGAAGCTGCAGCTCGGATGACCCTCTCGCTTTCATCCGGCTGCGTGGCAGGAGAAAGAGCGAAACGTTCCCCCGGGAGAGGAGAGGAGAGGTCGGGAGAGCCGCCTCCGCCGTCCTGATGAAGGAGGAAGGAATGCGGTTTCACCGCGTTCGTTTTCGTCCGTGCCTTGTGTACCCCTCGAGAGATCCTGCGGCGCGAGGTTACTGGGCAAACCAGTCTGCTTGTTGTGCGACGCGTGTTTCCCGCGCGAACACGCGCGAGAGGATAATCCTCTCCGGGACTGCCAGCGTCTGACGCCGGTGTCTCCGGTCATCGGGTTACCCTCAAGGTCGTACCACGCCGGTCCCGAATCCCGAAAATCTGGACAAAACCTCTGGAAACGAATCCTCTCGTTGGCTCGTTTCAACCATTTTCTTTTTTTTTTCTTTTTAGGTTATTTGATCGATGTCACTATGGGCTGAAAACGGTCGTATTTTTAAATCCAAGCAATGATTGCAGCGAAAACGTCGGCAATGCAGTTATTACAGCGACGATCACTAAACCCTTTATGAAAAATAAAAATTTGTTACGTCGGATCTAAGAATTAAATGGTTAAATAAAAATCAATGTTTTCCTTCATCGGTACTAAACAGTTGGAAATAAATAATTTACCGATGTTCTGTTAAATTCTTCAGGCATCTTCGGCTGCATCGACCGATCCATTTTCGTCGCGAATCCATAAAATCCCGCGGTCCAGTTACGAACGGCACTCGAACGCATATTCTCGTTTCGAAATTTTATGTCCGGATTCGCAATCGACGACCGCGCGAGCGTCCTCCGGTCGTATATTTCCAATTAAATTGATCCGGCTCGCCTTTACGTTTCGGGCCTGGTTTTCGGGATTCGTGACCGCTTCGCCGAGCCCCGGGATTCAATCTCGGAACGGGAACGCGTTCCCCGAACGGGCCGGTCCGGCCGAATTTACTGCCCCATTACCGGCGAACCTCGAACGATCATGCCAGACGCGCCTCGAACGGGACGTTTACTGGCGAGAGAGCCTGTTTTATGTCCTTGGTCCTTGCTCGCTTTCGGC